TCTGAAGGATGCCCCTTGCGTCCTGCCTTTTGTGGTACCTGATGATCAGGCAGGCATGAAGCCGTTATGCAGCACCTCTGACGACTTTGGACAATATATCGACTTTTATGAAGATGTCAAGCAGAGTTTCTGCCCTGGCTGTCTGATGACGTGTGACGTGACGACATATAGCCCTAGGCTAACTCCAGATGCATTTTCTGGGCCATGCGGAGGGAACACAGCGGGATACTTTGGGGACTCATACAGCATCATCCAAGTCAACACCCCAACCTCTGAGGTGAGTTTCTCAGGTTTACTATTCTAATCATATTCTAGGCATGATTCTCTGGTGCCTGCAGATGAAGTCAAATTATAGGTTTTTTTTTACTAAGGTAAACATTTATTAGTAGAAAGTCAACCCTTAGGAGCGCAATTCCGCATTGCTCTTAGACACATCAAAAAGGCAGTGCCATAGCCTCAAAGACCACCAAACGTCCATAACTCAAGAATGAAGTCGAAAAAACTGTAATTTTTGCTTTTCAGGAGGAGATAGTGCAAGAGCAAGAACTAACAACGTTGCCTCAGTTTCTCTCTGATATCGGAGGGATGCTCGGCCTCTACCTTGGATTCTCTCTTCTTACACTTTACGAATGTCTGGAAGCCCTCATCATCTTTGTTATGTCCCGATTCCGCAAGAACTAAATTCGATCAGGATAAATTAAATGGAATAAATATTCACCTCCCCCATAACTCTGAATAATGCTTCAGAAATAATTTGACTCATTTGCCTCAGGGCAGCACCAACGACAACTCCAGCTGCGAGCTGCCTCTGAAACGAAGTCAATTTTGACCGGTCACAGGCTTTCGTGCGGCTGTGTGTAACCAAGTGGCGTGCGTCAGGAATACTGTAATTTGCGAATGGAGCATACCTTTTTGTACGAGTGCGAAAACCGGCAATGACACAAGCACGCTATTGTCCATAGTAAATAACAAAGTTTGACTTAAAATTGTGTGTGTCACAACTGGTCCCCAGCAGAACATACTAGCTTCAAGGACGACTCTCACGCGAGGTTTATTTTAAATGTTATTATGGCCAGCAGTCAATTGATTGTGTTAAGAAGTGTTTTCAATCCGGGAAGAATGCGGTTCTAACATTGCTGTCGTTGTGCGATGAATTGCCACAGGAGAAGTCCATGTATGTGAAGATGAGGTCATTGCGCTTAGATATGGTTGGTTTTAAAGGAATTACCCAAAATGTATCATATAACTTTTCAATTGGTTTAGCATTGTTCGAACGGCAATCCCAATCACCACCCCAACATTAATATTGACGGAAAATGAAACTTAATAATGATTTTTGCTCTTGATAGCAAATGCATAAGCATTTCATTAGAAAATTGAAATATCGAGCAATCATTGGTTATGTATGTACGATATTCAAATTACCAAATGAAATTGTATTCCAGATCAAATTGACCCAGTTCATGAACAGCTCGCCAACTATTGAATAACGATTGTAACATGCTCGTTTTTAAAGGCAGTTCAAAGGCAAGTTCTGCTTTCACGATGAACACAAATGAAAAATTACCACATGTATAATTGCACCTCATCGGATGAGGTCTTGCACCGAATGCATGTGAGAAAAGTTGCAGCTGAGCTTACATTTAAAAAAAAAACTTATATATTGGTCAATATAAACTAGTTCCACATCTTAGTGTCAGTTCTTAAAATCAATTATATTTTGGTGAACATTTTGGGCGAGGTGTTTTAGAAGTGGCCACAACGCATTAATAATTTCCAATAGATGCCATGCTCATCTGTCTTATACATGATGTTCATAAAGGCTGAGGCGCTTGCAGCAACATCGGTCTTCTTGATTTGCAGGGACTGTTGTCATTCAACTGAATCGTGCGTCTTTATGGATTCAGATATTGAATGATTTAACTTGCTGCTCTTAGGAGTTCGAATTCCTTACGAGCATGCATAGAATAGGTAAGAGAACAGACAATATACGACTCACGACTGTTTTTGTTTTGATGGAGGCAAAGTAGTCTTTGCTCACAATACTGGCCCTTTTACCTGCACGAGCCTTTGTGATATCCAAAGAGCCTATATAGCAACTGGGCAACTGGAATAGAAGCTTGTGTTCTTTCTTAAGTCATTAACTAATCCAGTACACGAAACTAGAGATTCAAAGGTGAATGACCCTTGGAAAGCAAATCAATATTATCAATAATGATGTGCAATACTTCATTGAGCAATCATTGTTCACAATTTCCATGTTAATTCAGTGGAATTAATGATGTTTACTACAATCAGGAATGAGTTGCATGTTTAATAGAAGATCGACTCCATGAAAAAAATAACAATTGGTTATGCGTTCATGAATGTTGACAATATTGCCAAATGATTGCTTTCGTATATTTACGGATATCGAGATCAGAGAAGGAGTTTGTAGGACGACTTCAGCGCACCATCCAAATTATTGGAGAATAACCTCCGTCGCTGTGACCTACTCCACTTCCTAGGGATACGAATACATCTGGGTCGAAATATATACTGATTGTGGAGGTACATATGAGTAACGCCCCTAATGCGCATTGTGCAAACGGTCCCTTGTCGTATTCTACTGTGATTGGAGCCAGAGATTGCCGACTATATCATTAGGCTCTCTTGTCATAATTCGGGAAGTGTGTTTGTGTCACAAGGACGCACTGGTGGAATAATGATATTCAAGCTTCTCGATAGTCACCTCGCGCACAGAATAAGAATAGGGAGACCAAAAGAGAGAGGGACGTCCTTAATGGTGTTCTTCATTATTATTTCATGTAGAAGCATTGCGTTGAGGGAAGCAATGAGGACCGTGGTTAAGTGTACTCCTCATTAGTGTTCCACGCTCATTGATCGCCATAATTACACTTTCCCATGGGAATAATCTACTCTATTGCCTGTACTGTTCTGGTCTTCATGTCACTCTATATTTCATATTTGCGATTGTCAGCCCAAGGACATTACCTTCGTCACTGCAGACCAATAATATATTTAAAGTAGCCAAACAATAATAAATCGTGCCTGATGTCTTCTATGATCGCGTATTATCATTATTGACCTGTTTTGAACACACTCCAGGATAAGGAATAACCTGTCCAGCGTCATAGGAAAGGTACGGTATATGCGTTCTTGCTGTGAAATAAATACATATATTGGGTTTGACTCCATGGGGATTCCGCAGGGCTTTCGAAGCATGCAGTTGATCATTTATAGGAGGCTGCCACCAGAAGATGCAAGCCCAGGAGTCCTGCAAGGAAAATGGTGTAAGGTGTGATAGGAACGTCAGGAGGACTATCTGGCCATAATGACGTTCCGGTTTTTAGGCCAAGCAGTTGTGTAATCCTAAAGTATGCTTACCCCTCCTCAAGGCAAAATGCATGTGTTTTTTTAAAATGAGTTTTGTCGCTTCAGGCTACAATGCTCCTCGATCCTCGTCATAATGCTGGTTACGGTCGGGTCAGCCACTACATCGTCACTTAATGCATTCCAGGCGTTCAATAACCGTACAAGTAAAGAAGTTCTGTCTCAACCTGCACCTCACCAGGGGATTATGGAACTTCCGTGGGTTTCTTCGCGTTCTGCTGCTAATAACAAACTGGAAAATGTACTAAGTTCTACGTTATCGATTCCTTAAACTAACTTAAATGCCTGGATGAGGTACTCCCCTCGCTATTCTTCTCTCGATTGCGTGCAATCCTGATGCTTCTAAACGCTTCTGAAGCTGAAGGCTCGTAGCTCCATTGATCATTCTCTTAGCCTGACTATGGATCCTGTCCAGCTCCTAGAGTGGTATTTTTAAGCCTCCAATATTGAACTCAATACTCCAAGCGGCACCCCATTAGCACCACTAGCTCTAGAGAACTTCAGCTCCCCATGTAGAGGGTGACCAGTATGTCATTATGCCATTAAAAAAAATCCCATTTAATAAACCTTGGCACAAAATATATTTAATATTAACTGAATGATAGCTTGTCATTTGGAACTATTTTTGTTATTAATGGAGTTAATTGTGAGTTTTGAAAGTGCCTCAAATGCTCTCCGCCAACATCAATGCATTTTAAAAGAGGCTTGGCATCAAAAACTTGCCAAAATCTCTTGAACACTGACGGGACTCTGAAATACCACTATCCATGTGTAAACTTTTATTCATTGCTCTAGCGTCAATTGCGAAGCAATTCTATTGTCCCATGTCCTGCGCACAGAGCTCCATGTTAATTCAGCTGTACAGATGAGCAAGGAAACGCGACGGAAAAAAGTAAGTTATAATAATTTTAGGAACTGCTGTTGATCGCGAGAATTAATTTCTAGCGATGCTGTGTCAAATAATTACTTCACAGGAAAATCAAGGAAGGAAAACGTGCAACCGGGAGGGGTGTTGCAAAATTCGCCTCATAACGCGTTGCCCGGGGAAACCGATATGATTGCTACTATACAAACACCATGTTCCCATGCCCGAACCTTGTCATACAGCAGACCATCCATTATTTATACTATGCTTCCAGGGAAAACTAGGTGCGTAGTGTTAGAACACTCATCGCCATCGTCATTCCTGTCCGCAGAACTCAACAGAAACGTTAGTGCCGATGTGAGTTCATCACACGTTTCAGTGACTAATAGCAACGTAACTTACACCCATTTCTCTCCCGTTTGACGTCATCCTAATTATGTCATCCTAATTTGGAAAATGTGTATTTGTACCATTAATTGGAAAATGTAGTTTCGCACACTGCAACCACTCTTGTGGTACTTATTCAGAAGTTACATCTTCCTGATTCAGATGAATTGGAAAGCTTTCCGTTCTAACCTTGATTGATGACAAGCTTTGCTTATGTTTTTCTTGGTGTCATATTCCAGGAAAGCTCTCCTTCATACCCCGCCCTAGGTAGTTCCTGAAATGGTTCCAACAAGTTTCTTTCCTTTCCAGTCGTAGGATTTTCTTGAGGAATTTTGGGACTATAAAACTTGTCAAGATGGAGCACACCAACGAAGACATGACGCATATGCACCAGGAACAGGTCGTTCATGGCGTCAGAGGTTTCAAATCTCTCAAACGTGAATTGACGCATTTTGAAGGGAAAATTAAGCACTTGGAAGATTACATGCGTTTCATCAATGGGTTCGAAAACAACTGCTTCTCTCATTCCATGAAGATTCTTCACGATGCGGCGAGAGGATTGCCTTGATTTATACCATTGCCTTCGCAGAATCGCTTGGTCAGAGGAGGCGGCAAAGGAAACTATGTCAAGATCCACGGTCAAGATGCCGACGAACTTCGGGGAGATAACGCAGGGCAAACTGGGAGATGTGGATCATCTCGTCAATGGAATGGAAAGCCTCATACGCGACATGAATCAGTTCAGCAGGAAAGTGGATCTCATGGAAGAATCCGTCACGTCTATGAACCCGTATGAATATGAGTGTATGATTCATGCAGATTATGCTTGTCTCTTCATGAATGGGTTCGTATAACTGTGTACGCAGAATTTCTGGGCGTGAAATGGACGAAGCGAACTGGGGATACAGGAGCTCCGAGAAGCCTGGACATGAAGGTAGAAACAATTCTAGACAAAGTGCGTACTACCAATGTAGATCCGTTCCTTTCTGCGAAACTTTAGATACCGAAACATCTGGCGCGTTAATGAAATCCGGAACAACGGCATGTGAATGGCCATCGTAGTCAATAAATGCTGAAGCAAATTAGAGACGAGGGAAGCAACATTTTCGAGGGACACATACTTCTGATAGTTTCTCTTTGTGACACGGCATCAAGAGATTCTACATTTCTCGTATCAAATTTTCCAAACTGTCCATCCTGTCCATAAAAAAATATGACTTTGTTCCCTTCGCTCAATTACCTATGACTTGTTCCTTTCAAATGGACGGTGTTTTTTTGGGTTTGTGTCACCCTTTTTTATGGACTTGACTTCCTTGTACTGTATATTATAGAGACTGCGTTAACGCCTTTCGGACTCATGATCTCACTATGAATTACTCGCTTAATTTTTTTCAAGTTCAAGCACAGATATTTAAATGTCAGCCATCCCGTGTTCATCTTATATGTTTTGTCCAATGTTAACCCAAAAGCAAGTCACTCTAAATGTTCATAGCAGCCAAAGAGGAAATTTCGAAGGAGGCATTCAACCTATGGGCTCTACTAACACTCATGGATTCTCTATTTTCATCATACTAGGAAAAAAATTAGTTAACATCAGACAATTTTCAAATACTAGGTTATAATAACATTAAGCATTTCAAATACAGACTTCATTTTTTAATAAATGAAAGCATCAGGAGTTTTAATCCCCGAAGTCATAAAAATTACATTGCAGCATCATCGGTCCACAATAATGTCTGAAACGTGCAGACGTATTTGTATTGAATATCATATTGCATTTTTATTGTTTCAGAGCACATACTGCTTTGCTATTATGTTTAAAGTAAAACGTATTCAAGTTTAAACACAGTTCCCATTAATGGATGAGGCGAAACCTTGGTGAGGCTTGGGCAAAACAATTTTTTGAGCTGTTAAACACTACAATCTATCAGGATTGTATCGTAATGAAGAATTTCATTTCTAAACAATGGATTTCTAAAAAAAATCCATCATCTACGAATATTTCAATGTAACATTTCAGTTGTTCCATCTGTTTTATGACCATTTGGTGCTTTGTGAATTTCATTAGCCCTCGCATGAACACTATAATAATTACGTTTCCTAACTTTTTTGCTAAATGGCCGAGTTGAAAATGTAATATTTCATTTCCTCAGAGTAATGACGGCGTCAGCACAACTATGCATTGACTATATTCATTGTATCTTCAGGTGTCATACAGTATAATCGCATTTCAGGTCATTGGACACTTAACTTTCCTTCAGCGTTATTGACATTTTATTGCATGATGAATTGCAACGAGCACAAAACCGGCTGGAAATTGTAAAAGGGAAGTCAGAATTACATATATTCTTCTGATCTTCCTTCAAGAACCGGCCGTTTCTCTCTGGAGCAAAATTGGATTGGCAGGGAGATCAGGGGTCTGGAGTCTTCTCTGGATAATCGACATTTGTACCGTCATCACACTCGCCATACATCAGGTCAGTCTCCAAGTTGCTTCATTTTATACTTTCCTGAAATATTTAGAGCAATTCATCACCTGGAATCGAAACATTTTCTCTGAGGGTTGAACAGGGGAGAGAGTTGATCCTGTACTTTCTGAGCAATCCAACAGCCGAAAACATTCGGATCGGACGAATGAACAACGTTGAATTCCCCGCAATCACCGTGTGTCCCCTTGCGACGTGGAACCAGACTGCACTGCAGAATCGCTATCTTAATAGTGGTTACGTGACTAACTGGATTCTTGGCAAGGGCTGGGTCCTGAACAGCTGGATCCTGAACTGGTTAAACATGAGCATTGACGAAACTCTAAATATGTTCACCTTGAATGACTTCAGTCTCCTGGAAGACTGAAGTATCGGGCTTAACATTGGTGAAGCGGATTGTTTGTATGGAAGTCGTTTAGGGATCAATGGGCATCGCGTCGTCCACACCTATGGTAAGTTTCATTCGTATATTCTCCACGATTCATTCCCTCCATTGACCTGATTGCATTTCGAATTCAAATTTAACTCAGGGGGATCTTGGAGAGAATCGCGGTTCCTTCAGCATTACCTCGTTCCATTCATGAAGACCTGCTACACCTTTGATGCCAATTTAATGATGGAAATGGGGAGAAACGCATTTGTATTGCGTCTTTTCTTGTCGTTCAGTGACTTCGAATCTACCTCTAACACTCACGAGATCCACGTCCACTCGAAGGGTGAACCGTTCACAGACGGTATGCCCAATGTCCCAACGACCCAACAGACCTTGCTCGTCACGAAAGGGAGATCTTATGAGGTGAGTCTTTACCCGAGGAAGTTACTCTCATTGCCTTCAGGACAAGCGTGTAACGGGGATGAAAACTATGACTTTAATCAGGTGATTCAATTTCATTCCTATCCTTCCTTTCATTTCTATCCCAGACTCACTCTTAACCCTACCAGCCAATCATGCATAATCGGCCCAAAGTGTGTCGAGGGGGCATTGAATGAGAAATTCCTGGACGAAGCCCCATGCGCCCCGCCTTCCCTGGTGCCTTTGGGTGTTTCCAGCTTGAAGCCACCTTGCAACACCACTGACGACTTCGGGCTATTTCTTGACTTTCATGATGTCATCAAGAATAATTTCACCCCTGGATGTCTGAGGAAGTGTAACACGACGGTGTATGACGCTATCATTGTTCCAGATGGATTCGGTGAACTTGGCAATCTTCCCCTTACCAGAATCGATTTCCTCACCCCAAGCAAAGATGTGAGCTTCTTACTTTAACTACTCTAACCCTATGAACATACTTGGAAATCCAACAGGCATGTACCGGTTGAGTTTCTTTTCGGAGGTGTGAAAGTGTGGCTAAGTTTTGTCATGTAAGGTGAAGCAATACGTCTTCGACTTTAGACGTGCCCAAACAGCGTGGTATTTTCACCGAAATACACTAATTGTCTAGAAATCCAATATCCAAGTGAAGAAGATCATCAATGCATTTTCAGGTGGGGACGTTGGAAGATCAAGTACTAAAAACGCTGCCTCAGTTTCTGTCCGACATTGGAGGGCTGGTTGGGCTCTACCTAGATTTTTCTCTTCTATCCCTTTATGTGTTCTTGGAAACCCTCATCATCCATGTCATTTCCCGATTCTCCAGTCCCCATGTTCGACCAGTATCGCGACCGGAATAAGTCAGACGAGGAAATCAGCCTCCGTCGACCTGGACTCACGACCCTGGAGTTTGAAGTGCAGGAATTTTTTGCCACAGAGAACCGTCAGTCATTATGCTGTCCTGAAGTGACGTCCTTTTCGTGCAGTCCCTGAACCAGTTAAATCCAATAGTGACTGGTCTGTTGTAGTTTTTCCTCTTGTGTCGATCCCCAGCTTGTCATCCCTTTAACGCATAGTACATTGCATTGGACATTTGGGAGTATCCAAATGTGCACAATTCCCCATATCACAACAGATGTATAGACCGTACAGATGTATAGTATACACCGTTGGTCTCGCCTCATCTATAGACTCATGGAAGGGTATGATACAAAACAATAAGATTTAGACGCAGATTCGAATATGGAAGCATTCATTTAATAGAACATAACTCAGGCACGGTCGGGGGCAACCCTGGGCGATAGAACGAGAGCCTAAGAAAAGAAATGCTAGTAAATTGTAAAGCTCAATATACTCAATTTTAACAGCATTTGCAATAATATATTCAATATATATAGACGATCGTGACTGACTGACTGGCTGACGCTAATTCTAACCATGTTCCAGAAGAGTTAGAAATCTGAAACCTGGTACACATGTACCTTTTGGGGTGCAGAGTTCAGAAAAATCAGACTTTGGAGGTTCATGCCCTGGGGGTACACATTTTCGGGGGAGAATTTTTTAAAAATATATATCGTGATGGATAAGGATGTCATCGGATGTCATCGAAATGGAGACACTGCGTGTCTCCATTTCGGTGGTGTAGTGGTAGTAAATCGGACCGGTAATCGTGAGACCAGGGTTCAATTCCCGGCCATTACTTGCCTTTTTCTTGGCTTCTCATGCCTTCCATGTCCCGTTGCTTAAATATAACAGAGAGACATGGAAAGCTGAAACGTGGAATGGACGTGCCTACCGACACGATGAGTTCAGGAAAAATGGCAAATTTTATACCCATGCCCTGGGGGATTTTTTGAGCCAGACATGTATGACACACGTATAATGACATGATATTACTGAGCTGAGAGAGTATTCAGCTTTCATGGTGCATCCCTTTCGGGCATTGCTTTTCGGTGGGTCGGCATTTCAAAGCATGTTTTTTCACCAGCGAAAAGGGCAAATGTATGATATTGAAACTTTCGGAACATGTACATCACCGGGCAGACATAGAAAAGTAGTTGGCGCACGCATCACTGAAGTGATGTTGGTTTAAGGAAAAATTAAACTATTTTATACGTCTCCTCACATCACAGCTTTTAGGTGGGTCGCTTTTCCAAATACATTTTTTCGGCCACCAAAGAGGGGAAACGTATAGGGCTGAAACTGGGTGGCATGGAGTTCCCTAAGTCTACATTTCAAAAGAAAAAAAAAATTCGTTAACACCCATTAGTGCACTTTCTTCAGTCCCATTTTTCTGATTTTTTTTTGATCCAACGAAACAGAGACAATAAATTTAAACTTCCCTCAGAAGCACCTGTTTGATGGCTGAGTAGAGGAAAAATCATAATTTTGAAATATGTCTCCTTAGCGTAGATTATTGGAGAGAAGTTTTTCAAAATGTATTCTTCACCCTTGCAAAAAGGGACACGAGAAAATACTTTAAGTTAGGCACACAGAATCACGGAGGTAATGATTTTGATGAAAAAATCAAGACATTCGACCCTATATGTCATGTATTTCAATGTGGACGTACTTTAAATACTTGTTTCCCATTTCGCAAAAAATGAATGAATTAATCGCTATGCAAGGTAAGGGAGCACCGAAGGCGCGACCATAGCGAGTTTGTTTGCCCTCCGGGCAAACAAACTCGCTAGTATTCAATATTTTCCAATTTGTTGAGAAAAAAAACTTGGGAGGGGAAAATAAAGGTTCTCGAAATTAAGTTCCTATGTTAAAGGTGAGAACCACTGTTCTCTGCAGCACCAAGGAAATATTGATTTAGAATGACTTCAATGATCTTGACTTGAGCGAGCAGGAAGCTCGTCCAATTTCGTTAATATACAGGAAATCAGGAATTACTAGAACTTTGAATTTATGATGGAGGAGGTGAAAAAAGTGAATAAACACGCTACGGAAGCAAATAGATTTTTGACGATATGTGGTCCATAAAGCAAGGATACATATCTTATTTGAATATATATATATATATATTTTTAAACATTATTTGAATTCGAATTTGAACAAAGGAAAACAGACCGATCTGCATGGCAATCTTAACCTTCAACATTGACACATCCAATCGGCAGGTTTCCGTCCTGACCGATGAATCCGTCCCGCGACTGTGACAGATCGTTTACTAATGTTATTTTAATTATTAAAGCCATGTGGTGCAGCAATATCTTCCTGGGGATTCAGAGTTTGAAGTCGCACCGATCCGAGTGATGAATGAATGAGTTCCAATATTTTCCCTATCTGAAAAATATCAGCTGTGGCCGCACGCAGAAACAGAAGAAAATAGAACTCAGCTTAAATGGTATATGATAGAATTCGGCATGAAATCAAGATATGTATCAGGTACATACAATGGCCAACATGTTGCCTCCAGTTTTGCGTCTCTCGATTATGTAAGCTTGCACAAATATGCTAGTCGCAATACAAAAAGAATATCTTCAAACAGGCTTGAAGACGGGTGAAATAATGAATATAACAAACATCTTGTTCAGCTTACATTAATATCAATGATGTTTCATTTTTCTTGGCGAACAATGTTGTAAAAAAGATCAAAGAGCACTTCTTGTTTTGCATAATTTATTAATTTTTTGTTTTTATTAATTTAGTTTTGTGTAATATATTTATATTGGTCAGAATCCTTCCTACGGAAGAACCACAAGAGAAGGCTGTGGAGGAGAAAAGAAAACATGAGAAGGAAATTTCCATTTTGAAAATTGAGAATGAGTGTTTTTAGCAAACCATGGAAATTGTAGCTTGGAACATGGAGTAAGGGAAGAAGCTTTCCTAATATCATTCCCTTGGATGCTTCTTAACCTTTCCGTGCCTATTTTTATCATGGAACCTACAAATGGAAGATCTCACGCCATTCGCAAGGAGAGCGAAGACGGGACAGGATTCTTCCTCTTTGGCCGGCGCTACTTACACACGGTGAAGCATGCAAATTATACATGCCCAAATCCGATAACGAAGGTCCGATTACGTATCCAATTTAATTTATTTTGCTAAATTTATTAATCTGTGTTTCTCCCATTGAAAACGGTAGCGCGTTTTTTTAACCACTACCCTAAAAACCCTAAAAATTTCTAACCCTAAAAATACATTCAACCGTATTCCTCTTGGCATGGTGGTTAAAAATAGATCAGATCGAGGTAATTGTTATTGCTAAAAAAGGCTAACAAAATCATATGAACAAGAAGAGCGCCTAGCTACAAGATTCGAATTAAAAAATAGGGGAACGAAATTATTCCATTCTCTATGTTGGAGAATACATTAGCGGTTCAGTTCTTTCACTGAACACCAAACCAATAGGCTCTAGTTTCAGAGTGAAACGAGAAAAAAGCGACTTTCAGAGCGGAAAAAAACAGGTCAATTGCTTCAGAACAAGAGAATAATGATCAAATTGTCTTGGGGTCCAATTCTGGTATGCCCTTCAGCAACAACACCACAACATCTTGGTGATTCCATAATTAGTTGATCAAATTCCATTCAGATTTTATTCCAGGAATTTTGGAACTATGGCGCAATATACGCGAGGAGGGATGAGTAAGGTTCACTGGACAAAGTTTGTCTAAAAAATGAATATTTAACCTGTAATTTGAACTTATAACAGGTAATCATTTTTTCCGGAAAAACATCGCTGAATCCCCCACAACTAAAATACTTCAAACAGGTATTGTCCAAACATATGATGGATTTCTCCTTATTGTGAGATTGGGGGTGAAAGGGGTTGGGATATGAGTGATAAATGTCCGACAGTTTGCCACTTTGCGAAACCACTTGTCTACTAGAGTCAACCGCTGGGATTCCCTCGGTATACCTCCCCCTTTCCGCCTACCACTTTCTAGCATCCGATACTCCACAAAACAATTGAGCGCCAAATCCAGTTACACTCTGACAATATTAAAAGCTCGGGAAATACTAGAGCGCGAGGATATCTTAAATGAGTTCCTAAGTTTGAGCCTCACATTGTACATTGTTTTTTTTTTTGGTTGAGATTGCTTGTAATGCATAAGATCCAGGATGAGCCCCGCTTTCCCGCTTCCGTGTTGTGAGAGACGTATTACAATTCAAGAGTTTTAAAACATTAGCAAAAAAGGGAGCAATATATACCTAGCAATCAATCCAAGACGCATAAACTTCAACTTCTTGTTTCTGTGCATTAGGGTAACTCAGCATTTTATTGCATCTGCCTTTTACACGTATACAAAAAGTCGCAGCCATAGGCTTAATGTGAAGCCTCAATGGACACATGCCCGAGCTTCTCCGGTTCCTTGGGAAACTGATGCAAAAGAACACATCCATTCATTCGGCCGCATTCCTCTTGACTTAGTGCGTAGTAGTAGTACCAAGACAGACAAACCACCATTTCTCACACCCTATTTATATCCCATAATCTCATTGGTCAATCCTGCGTGGTTCCAGGGCCGACTACTAGGCCAGAGAGTTACCCAGACATCAAAGGCACCGCTGCTGAATTCCCAGTCTTTTTAGTAGAAGGACTTGGGTCACACCTTCATTATCGGATTTGAATATGAATAATTGATATGCTTCATCGTGGGTAAATAAGGTTGGCAAAAGAGGTAGAGTCCTCTCCCATTTCCTCTTTCCTATGTGAAAGGGGTATGATTTTCATTTTGAAGATTCTATGCTGTCTAAATATGACAACATTCGGGACACAAAGGTTAAGAAGCATCCAAAGAAGTGATATTGTTGAAGTTCATTCACTTCATTCACCTCATTCAAATGTGCCATGGAAATAGGCTCAAACTTAGGAACTCATGTAAGATATCTTCGCGATCTACCCCACAGAATGTTAACGTTGTTAGTTAGTGGGCCAACCATCAAGAGCACAGACCACCATTGCGGTTATCCTACGTAAGTAGAGAGCGCTCA